TGAAGAATTAAAAATCAGCTTATTGTTCCTGGTGGATAAAGCCTGTGCCTGGAAAGAGGGAATAAGATATAGTCTTGAGGTCAATTACTAGTCATTTTAAAATAGCATAGCAAGTATGGTCTCACTTTAATTGTGTATTTTGGTCTTTAAAGTTGTTTGAACAGGTAACCTGCACCCCACTTGTCCCCCATGACCACTGAGATAGACTCTTGCTTTCAACCGCGAGTTGGTTTAGCAGTTAAGAAAATCGATGGATCTTTTATAGAAGGTCTTAAAAACGTATACTTTTACTTTCCTGTTACCCGCCGACCACATCTGCTCTTCTTTTAGAGAAGAAATACTCTCACGTTCAGCCTTATCTGAATCCGTAGCAGCACATTTTCTCAAGAGAAAGAAATACAGTGACATTTTTACAAGCTGATTTCTTTTGCTATTCTCCAAACTGTTGATAGTTTACCTAAAACTTCACTCCAGCTTTGTTTTTATGCTTTGGAGACCAAACTATTAATATGTGCTAGTACTTAGTAGTTTGGTTATATCTTAAGATGTGAATACCAGTAAAACCTGACATATATACAGAGTAATACATTGCCCATCAGTACATAAAACCTGAGTGAGTATATAACAAGCCCATGAGGTAGTTGTTGATGCTATGACAAGACCTCTCAAATGACCCTGAAGTAAAGCTTTAAAGGTCTACCTTCCAAAATCTGATCCTGCCAGCAGGCTAAGTAAACAGGGTCCTGCTGAAAGAGACATGAGTCACTCGCCACAACGCGTAGGAGTGTTAACAAGCCATCTATTTGCCTCCTCTTGCCGCTCGTTTAAGTCGCCGACGTTGCCCTTCATCTTCCACGAAGGCATCCTGAGCTCCCCTCACCTGAGTGGGAACAAATGTTTGCTCAGCACCCTCCCTCCTTTTGGCTCGGCTATTCGTGATGTCATCGTTCTCTGAAAGGCCACGCACCGCCGTCATGCAAGCGACAACCTCATTGGATGTGGTAAATATTTGCCCGTCTGCAATTATAGCCGCGCCAAGTGTCCTCAGAGCAACAGCCTGCTGGGTAAACAGAAGGGAAATAAATGAGCAGTGTGCATCTGGCAAAGGCTGAAAGAAGCCACTGATGGGCGCTCAGAGCGATGACATGTACCTGTAGAAAAGGTCACCGAGGTCTTCAGCGGACACCTCGCTGTCATCTGCATGTGACAGCTGGGTCCAGGCTTCCCCTAAACCCAGAGGGAAGGTAGCTCGGCTGAGTGACCTTTTAAACAAGCAGGAGGCTGGCTTGTTATCTCCTGAGTCTGGTTGTTCTGAGAGGTTTAATATGCCTACTGCTATTCACATTTCAGCACATTTTCACTGGGCAGAAAATAGAAAATATGAAAAGGCATTAAAGCTGCTCTCAAGCCGGGCCAATAGAAAGACAATAAATCAGATAAACCAGATGAATCTTTTTAACCGATGCTACTGCGCTCCACTAAGCTCTCGTCTTTCATTGTCTGAATAGTCACGAGTCCCCAAAACTATTCAGCTGTCGTCTCTAAAAGTAATAATAAAACTATTTATATGTAGCGTGTGTTTAAACTAAGCTTTTAAAAACTCGCAGTACAATATACTAATGAATAACCTCAGACATTTTATTAGCTGAAGGTTTGCTTGTTTTCAGTGTCGTCTTCCTGCCTTTCGATGGCATTCGTCTCTCCCCATTGGAGAGAACAATCTAACTCTCGTCCTCCACCTTCCCTGTCCTCATGTGTTTTTATTAACCTAACAATAACACCGGAGGTAGCCAGCAGGCAGCACATCGTTATATGTCAAAGAGCACAACTTCACTAGCCCTCCAAACATCGTTGAATTTAGTTTTTTGTCTTATTTAGTATCCAAGGTTACATTTTAGATTTTTAGAAATAGGCAGGTCTTTAGGTTTCTTTAGTATTAAAGTACACTGTAAAAAAACAGGAACCCGTATTGGCTAAGTAGGTGGACATTTAATAATACCAAGGTTCAAGATGAACAAAAGAGCCCACAAAACAAAAACAAAGTGTTAAATTAACAGTAACCCTTTTCCTGCTGGCAGTATCGCTAGTTTTTGAGAGTAATAAGGGGCCCAGATTTGAAAACAAATGGTTTACATCACTTGACTGTGTATGCTTTTAAGCAGATAAAACCTTAAAAATAATCAGTCCAGAGTGAGGAGAGCCAGAAGCAGCTGTTTATTCCTCTTCTGGTTTATTTCAGAGAGTATTTAAAGCCAGCAGTATACGTTTTCAGCTCTGACCCCAAAGGCCTCGCCGGGATGATGTCTGCTGTGGCGCGAGCGCCAATAGTGAACACCTTAAATCACCACGGGCTTGTTCAGATTGGACTCATAAGAACCATATGGACTACTGTTAGTCAGATGAATGGCATTCCTTTCCATACTAGGCAACTCTTTTTCCGTTCCCCTCTCTTTCCCTTTCTTCCACTTGAGTTACCTTTTTTCATAAATCTCTTTTACAAACCAGTTCCTCTGGAGCACTAATCCCATTCTGAGGTTACGTCTCCTACTGCTCATGCTCCGATAAATGTCTCAGGACGAGAGATGCTATTAGGTTATTGTGCTATAAAGTGACTCATGAGTGGATACAGGGACTTGAGGTCTTTCATGTCCCTGGGGACTCGGCCCTTTGCCAGGGAGCCGTGCGTATGGTTCCTATTTTCGAGCCCTGCTAATGAACCCTGTTTGTTCCAGTGTAGCGATAGCGTTGCGCGGGGGCAAAAGAGGAGTACTGGGCTCAGGGAAGGACATTCCCGGCATTCCTGCGTCTGTCTGACGCATCAAGGAGGTCGGCTGCTCTGCTGCTTTTAGAAGATGTGAATCAGCCTGAGGGTTTGAGAACGGGGGGATTAGGAGGTGTGAAGGAGCTGATTGCCTCTGACGGGAAAAGAGGAGGAAAAATGTGTTAAATAATTAACAGGGTTAAAAATGTCAAGGGCGTAGGTGAGGCCCGCAGCATGTGTTTGTATTTTGTTTCGTTTTTTTTCCCAAGCAGTAATCGTGCCATTATTCCTAAGCCTGTCTACACCGCAGAGTAAAATATTTTAAAGGTGTATTAAATCCTACAGCACCAAATGCTTCAGTTTAAGAGTGTTGTTCATCAATACCAGTGACCCGGTGATTACTTCACCAGAGATTTCTGGATTTAGAAACTCACAGTCCTGCCAGCACTACGATAAAACTCCTTCTCCAATGCCATTTCGGCTATAAAACCATCTTCCATTCAGATGAAGTCCTTGCTAAAAACTCTCCCAAAGCACTGCTGAAGGTTGACCTATTTTTATTGCTTGACTGAATCACATAAGTTTTATGTTTTATTTAGTTTTTATTAGTTGAGCTCTAGTATTGTGGGATATGTGTTTTTTCCAAGTGAGCAGAGATATAACGATCTCTCATGTGTCAGTTGGTCTTGCTTCCATTGCCTAATTCTTCTGGTATAACTTACAGTGAAATGAAAAGCTTGTATTACAACAACAAATTGTTTGTGCAGCAACCTCCAGTGCCTCCAGTACTAACCAGTCAAAATGCATTTTTCCCCAGATAGCAGTGTTTACCAACCAGTGTCTATGGCCGGCGTTAATTCAAGCTAACAAAAAAATCTTAACTTCTGTGGTTTGGTTTGTACATTTTTAATGGGACAAATTGCATTTCTCACTGTTTATATGAGCCAAAAATCAGTTTCTTATGTTTAATAATTTTGTTTCCCCTCTTACAGTTTTTAAATAAGTAGCTATTTCAGGGTAACATTAGCTAGCATTACTCTTTCATGTTATGTATCTCTATGAAAACTAAAGCAAAAAGTTGAAATCTTAACAAACAAAAAATAAACCCTTTTATAATGAAGTGTTGTGTCAAGACTTTCTTTTACGGTATTTTGAAGTAGCTTTAGGCTAAGGCTACTTCCTTAGTATTTAATTTTGTTTTTAGTATTTGAAATTGTAACAGAACTACACAGCATGCTTCATGGGAATAAAAAGGGAAGTTTATGGGGGGGAACACAGCCTTGCTGAGTTTATTATATTCAAATACTTCTTGCTACATTTTTTTGATGTGGCATGAGTAAGCTAATTCAGGCTAATGAAAGCTAATATTAGCTGCTGGGTTTTTTTTTTCATAATCAGTAGTTTAACTTTAAGCTTTTAAAGAAAAACTATACAACAAAGGTACAAATAATAAAGCAGTTTCTCAATGTTTAAATAACTTATTGATCAGTTTAGTAGTTGCCTGTTTTGGCGTTACGTTAGTCCTCATTAGCAACCTTATCTGGTTTAGCTAGTACTGCAGGCTTATGTTAACTGTGTTTTTCAAGCTGTTTTTTTAGGCCTGACTATTTCGGCTTCTAAACAAAGACACCGCTGTTTTAAAATTAGAAAGCTACGTGATCAAACGTAGCCATTCGCAACTTCTTAAAATATATGATCTTAGTTGCTGTTATGGTATATTTCAGCACTCTTGTAACCATGTTAGGATTTCAGTAAGGGAAACTGACTGAATTGGCTGTCATGTATAGGTTTTACAATGGTGTGAAACCTATGTCACCTTTTTGTCTTTACAAATCTGTTTTGGGCAGTTTGCTGCTATTCTATAGACAATGGAAAATGGCCCCCAGTCATTTTCAATCCAGAGATACATCCGTGCCTGCAATGCTTTCAAAACAGCTGCCTAAGGAGATTTTTGGAGGGTTGTGTTTATAACTTCATTCCCTGGGTCCTTTGTAAACAGCCTGGCACAGGGAGGATGTTGTTAGAAAATATCTGCCTTGACTGTAATCACTTACTATCCCTGGGTCATTCAGGGACTAGAAATGGAAAACAGGAAAAACAAATAAAAGCCGGCACACATGCATGTACAGACGCCTGAGACTTGGGTGGCAGCAGGGCTGTTAGGTTGTGAGTCAGAGCATTTGTCCTCTTACCCTGGACGACAACTCTGATTGTTTGTGTTCCTGCTGTTTTCGGACAGGTGGTGACCCCAACCAGAGTGGGACAGACCTACACTTACAGCCCAGGACAGCATAACCAGCAGGACCTCTATGACGTCCCACCCATCAGATCACAAGGGGTAGGTTCCTCATGCACCATAACACCAGGATCTTTTTTTCCAAACAGGGAACCCAATAATACAGTGCACTCTATGATTTAGAATAAAGGAATTTGGTTAAAATTAACCAATATAGGTTCCTAAAACTCCTTAAAATTATTGTTTTTCAAAACCAAAAAAAGCCATTAAACCCATTAATTTCCAGTAATGAGGTCATTTTCTAGTAATAGCTGTGAGGCATAAGTTAAGGTTACAAGCTGTACTAAAAACACAGCTTGAAGTGTTTTTTCCCCTCTCTTTTTTTTCTAATTTTTGGTCTGTATGATGTCAGAGAGAGAGAATGTTATGGTTATCTCGGGTACCGAAACCACACCCACCTTCTGTTTGCAAATGTGGGTGGAGCTAAAGCTGCTGGTTTCAAAAAGAGGATGAATTGAGGAGCTGAGCCAAAGTACAGATAAAGTTATGAACAAGGATTATTTTGAACTGTGGCTCATGCAAAGCTACACTAGGAAACGCCAAGCATAAAAATAAGCTGGATAAATATCTTTAACACTATAGTGCATGCATCTGAGAATGTACAAATATAATCTTTAGTTTACCTACACATTGATATCAGTTGAATCTGTTAGCATGTTTTCACCTCATATCAAGCATCTTCGTTTTAAAAACAAGCCATCCAGGTGAGCTTTTGATGCAGCACACAGTGCCTGGGCAAATGCATTTCATTTCTCAAAACAAGAAAGCCACTTCTCTGATCTGCATCGTGCTATTCTGCCTACCACATTTCCTGTTCTGTGCAGAGATGATTTCTTCTGAGAAAGGATTCTTCACACTTCATTTTCTCTCATGCTGTTGAAACCTGCAGTGCGGCAGTGATGTTTGCACATTTTGAGAACTGTACTGTTTTGTTTTAAAACGCTCAAATAGATATTTTTAGAATTACAGACGAGGTTGCAGTGTGAAAACAATTCGAGTTGCTTACAGAGATGGAGTTACAGGAAGTCATCACCTGATTGTGCAGTTAACCTCAATTTCACATTGCTTTGTAGTGAGTTTCAGCTTTGGTCTCTGTTATCACCGTTTTCATAAACTCTTACTGCTCTTTAAGTTTTGTTCTCAGCCAAAACAGCCTTCTGTTTTTAGCCAAAAATCCACTGAAAACTACTTCAAAACAGCTGTCAGACAGGTGGAAACTAGCAAGATATGGAAGTGGAGCATTTAGCATCTGAAGGGCAGCTGGTGGAGACCAAAAATGGAGCAAAAAGAGAAAATACTGTGCAAAGAAAAACTCCAATCAGTGACCGTGTTGCTCTATAACTATTCACCATATCAAACTGACTTATCGTTCATTCTTTCCTGTCATATATACAAACTTTCTTGTGATGCTGGATGCTGACACTAAACGCAGCCGGAGATTCAAATAATGAGGCCAGCGTACGTACGAGTCAGAAAAGAAGCCCAGGCTTCAGCTGTCAGTGAGAACAGTTGTAACTAATGTGACCACCTCAGGCCAGCCAATCAAAAGAAAGTTGGCCTTACAGCCACCTTTGTGGTAAAGAAGTCTCACTTTAGATAGGAGTGCTGCACCGAGGCACCTGTGCAAATAAAAATATGAAGCTTTTAACTTAGCGGTGACTTATTGTCACCTTTCACTGAGCACTAAATTTGATTTTATTTACTTTGTGTCACATTTGCTTCTTCATACATGTTCATATATATTTCTTTTAATGCTTCCTAACTATTACAATCAAACTTCACTGAGTATTCCACCCAACTCTCCCTCAGCCTGGTTCAGGCGAAGTTTCTTCCTGTTAAAAGGAAGTTTTTCCTTCCCACTGTTACCAACTATATAAAAAAATGTAATGACTTTAGGGGCAATTTGGCGAGTAGTATTTTCCTCCGAGCCAATTTGGCATGTGGACTTGAGAAGTCTGCGATTGAACTGCGACCTTCTGATTACTAGACATCTCACATATGGCCAAACAGAAACTAATAGTGTGCTACAAAATCAGATCAAGTCAGCTACAGTCAAATAATATGAAGACCAAACTTTGTGTGATTGTTTTTCTGAAACACGTAGTGATCATTTCACTTCCCTCTTTCAGGTGTACGATATTCCACCTGGTCAGATGTTCCCTGGTCAGAAAGGCGGAGCCAGAAACCAAGGAGTCTATGATGTTCCCCCATCACCAATGGACCCCAGGTCACAAGGCATCTATGACATCCCTCCAACCTCTCAAGGGGTAAGAGAAACTTCCAGAAGCCACAATGAAAGGGCACATCAGTCAGCCACTCCATTCGTTTAAGCCACATGAAGCTGAATTAAGGAGGCTCCGTATGTCCGGAAAATTTTATTTTTATGTTTATTGATACAGCTCCTAGAATTTCTCTTAATTGACTATATTAAATGAATAATACGTCAAATATCATATTTATTGCATTCCTGCGGCCAGTTTAAATGAAAGCCTCGCCTGCCAGGAGAGTTTAACCAAAACGGCTCCGTGTTTAAACTCGCCAGCAGGGGAAAAAAACAAAAAATCAAGGACGAGGACATAACTCTTCTTTTGCCAGACCCTCTAAGATTTCACCAGAGCCGACCAGGCAGCGCGCCACCAGTTTGTTTGTAATAACCTGAAATATGCTGGGACCTGTTATTTGCGTCGTTCCTAATTACAGTTTGGGCAGGCCTGTCTAGCTGTAAAGAGTGCGTTTGGAGGCTGATGGAAATCAGTTTTATTGCCCCCGCTGCGCTCCCATCGCGCTCCGTGCCATGTACGTCAGCGCACACTCTGCTGCGTCGAGCTCGAGGGAGGGTGAAAGCTTCGTTGCATTAGAGGAAGGAATCAAGAGGCTGAAAGTTTGAGGTTTCAAATATAGTATCTCCCCAAGCCAGAAGGTCTTTCACTTCCTCAATCTCTAACTGCAGGACTGCTGTGCAAACACACTGCATCCAGTAAAACCCACTGAGGTGCATTTACAGTCCAAATTCTGTGTTTAGCACATTTTTTGAATGTCATAAACTCGAGTCTCCCGGGGGGAGGCGATTAAAAGAAAACAATCTCCTCTGCAGGAATCCAGGTTTCTAACTGCTAATCTTATGATGGTCGAGAATTTAAAACATGTCACTTTTCTGGTGAGTTCTTAACGAGCTATGTTTTAGGAAGGGGAGCCTTCTTTGTCGATGACTTTCCAATGCCCGAAGACTCGTCGGCCCGAATGCTGGGCCAAGCACACATTTTAGTGCCTTTAAACGGGACCTCAGAAGAGGCCAAAGCTGAACATTGAAATGTCATAAACCATTTTAGGAAACCAGTACTGCAGCAGTGATAGTTCCTCACTTTGTAATGAGACTGCATGCACATGCAAAGAGGCAGTCAGCCAGTTTATGACTGTTTCTGTCAACTGTAGAGCAAATGTTTGCTCACTCGCTGTGTGCTGCACTCTTTCACATTAAATGGACTAAATGCTTCCAAGCCTTTAGTTTAGAAGAATTTGTTATATCCACATCTGGCCAAGCAGTGGTGTGCGCACTCCAGCTCCAAGGATGCCTCAGAGGCCCCTTATTTTCAGAGCCCACGGTCGATGCTTCACAAAGCACGATCGATCCTAGTGCGATACAAGTGTTTACATTTTCAAGTTGAGACAGCGTGACAGCACCTCTCAGGTGCGGATGGCGCGACATGACTGCAGAAGGAGTGCAAAGGAGGTGTTTGTGTGCAGGAGGTGGAAAAAAATGAGTCATATCGCAGGTGTTTCCACATCTGTTTAGGAGGGTAGCAGCGAGAGAGTGGGATGCACAGTTCTAATAGTGCAAATAAATGAATGTATGGGAAGTACGCACTGAGATATGAAATGCTCTGTAGAGGTGCAGCAGAGTATTTTGTATGATGACGGGGATTTCACAACAAGGAAAAAAATAGTCCTGCGAGGCCACTGGTTTGGTGAAAGCTCCACTGTTTGATAATAATATACATGTTAACAAAAATAATAACAGTCTGATTACTGTCCTCGCCCACAGGTCTACTCAGTGCCTCCCTGCAGGACCAACTCTGCCCAGCAGGAGGGGAACTACGACTTCCCGCAGCCCCTCAAGAGCAAACAGGAAGGCATCTACGACGTACCCCCGCCTGTCCTCGCCAAGCCCGCCCAGAGCTCGCAGTCACATTACGACTTCCCACCGAACGTGGAGCCTCCGGCTCATCAGCCGCACCCAAACACCAACGGCAATGAAGGCATTTACGATGTGCCACCGCCTGCCTTTCATTCAGGGGCGGGGTCTCGCAACGACGTGTACGACATCCCGCGGGTCATGCAGACCTCCCAGCACAGAAGCTCGCCCGCCGACAGAGACGGAAGCAAAGGCATCTACGACATCCCCGCTCAAGATGTTCGCGCAGTAGCGGACGTGACGGACGGCGTGAACCGCCTGTCGTTCTCCAGCACGGGCAGCACGCGCAGTAGCATGTCCACCTCCTCGTCCTCCACTGGCTCCAGCTCCGAGGGCCGCCTCGCTCTGGATGTGGACACAGCCATCCAGAAGCTGTACCGCCTTCAGCAAGCAGTGGACAGCTCAGTCGGGAATTTGCATTCAATGGCAGCTTCCCCTCACTGGAGGACTTTTCCTTTCATGGAACGCCACGCCAACGACGTCCGCACAGTTCTGGACAGAGTCCGGGCCGCTCTGGGAGACTTCATTGTGTTTGGCAGAGGTGCCGCGGTGAACGCTACGTCTCTGTCAGACAACAGTCTGCACAGTAAGCTTCGAAGGCAGCTGGGACGCCTGGAGGACTCACAGCAGATCCTTCTGCAGATCTACCAAGCTCTGGAAAACTGCAGCTGGGCGCTTAACACCCTGGCCTCGTCTGGAAGGCACCACAACAAGACCGACGACCTGGACCGCTTCGTCATGGTCTCCAGGACTGTTCCCGACGACGCCAAACAGCTGGCCTCCACGATAGGCAGCAGCGCCGAGCTGCTGTTCAGGCGGACGCATGTGGACGGATCTTTCTCTGTGGGCAGCACGCCTGACGAGAACGTGATCCACCCGCTCACCTCCCCCTCGTCGGACAACGACAACTACGGGGGCCAGACCAAACCTTTCCCCGTGCCCTCGACCCCAGACAAGGACAACATGAACAATAGCGAGAAGTGCGTGAAAAGCTGGATGGAGGACTACGATTATGTACATTTGCAGGTAAATAATTAAATTCACAGTTAGTAGAGTGGTATCATGATTATGAAGTTTTTCGATGCTGATGATTCTTTTGGTCCTTATGTTCAAAATCACAGCCTCGGGGTCAGAAATGTTCAAATACCACACTGGAAGTCTTTTAATATGTAAACAAACTCAGATTTAATTCCTACAGAGGGTTTAATCCTCACTCCATTGTTTCTATTTGCAGTTAGTCAGGTACAGTCACTCATGGACATGGTTGTAGCTTTATTTACTTTAAGTGATTTTACCCAACAGATAAGAATTTATGTGTCGTGTATCAAAGATCAGACCTACGTGAGTCTGGTTTCTCACCCTTTTTAAAACATTTTTTAATCTCCCTTCAGGGCAAAGAAGACTTTGAACGGCAGCAGAAGGAGCTGTTGGAGAAAGAAAACATAATCAAGCAGAGTCAAGTTCAGCTGGGTCAGGAACAGGTGAGGCTTTGTGTTTGTTTGGGCCTCGCAGGTGGAGCGCACACTGTGCGGGGGAGTCAAATACCTCACAGTCTTAAACAAAACAGATGATAACACTGAGCGATTAGGGGCCCTTCGAGGTTCTTACGAAGGCCTCTGCAGACCTCGGCGCTCAGATCTGATTCTAACACCATTCTCTCGATGGAGGCCAGCGTCAGATTACAAGGTGGAGCGGTCACGGCCCTGAAGTGACCCACATGTGCAAATATATATAAAACAAATGCTGCCGTACAAATGTAAACATGGAGTCTAGAGTTTTAGGTTGGTGTGCAGTATAAGACGGGGAATTTGTGGGCGGAAGAACCGAAAGAATATAGAGAGAGGGAAGCTTTTTTATTTTATTTATCTCGTGGTGCTATTTTCATACGAAGGTGTTTGTGGATGTGGAGTTGCAGCCAGCAGTGGTGAGATTGTTGGTGTGAAACTGATTTCTTCTACATTTTTAGGATGAAATGTAAAGGGTGGCTGTTTCATTTTGGTCATTTAATTTCTAATTTCTTCGAAGTAACAGCGTTTTCCAGTAAATTTAACATTAAACATTTTCTCAGAGACTCAGTTTGATACTTTTAAGACAGCAAAAGTTTAACTTTGCTGTTAAAAAGGAAAAAAGCCATAAAATGCTTTGCAAAAAGGAAAGTGTTTTTATGTTAAGTGTCATGCAAGGTCAAAATCTTTGATTTTTCTGCTTAAATTTACATATTTATAAAACGCAATTTGGCCTTGTGACCCTGAACTGGAGGATAAGTGGTTAAGAAAATGGATAAGCCAAATGGGAAACATGTTTGCTTTGAAATGAAATGAACAATCAGTGTGCAATCAAAGCTTAGACACGCGTCCTTCCTCCGAAACGTGTTTATACTTCCCTCTGTCAGGTTAATAAAGGGAACTCTGTTGATCTTTTGCATCCCAGTTTCTGCCCCCATTTTTAATCTGTGGGTTGAACCTGATGTTTTTTTTTTAAATGTTCACTTCAAATATTTTCGATTATAAATAATTATGTGTATTTAAAGCTAAACCTTTGCCCTTTGACCTCACATCTGTACTGCTTCTACAGATCAATCAGTTCAAGAAGCTGGAGCAGGAAGTGAGCAAACCCGTGGAGAACGACATCACGCAGTGGATTTCACACCAGCACTCGGCGCCGCCCTCAGACTCCTCGTCCTCCTCCACCTCCCTCTCCCCGTCCGCCCACCTGTGCGCTCGGGACCGCCAGCTGCTCAGCTTCTACTCGGAGCAGTGCGAGCAGCACTTCGTCACGCTCCTCAGCGCCGTGGACGCCTTCTTCGGCTGCGTCAGCGCCGGCCAGCCCCCCCGCATCTTCGTGGCACACAGCAAGTTCGTGATCCTCAGCGCCCACAAACTGGTCTTCATCGGGGACACGCTGTCCCGGCAGGCCTCGGTGCCTGAGGTGGCCAACAGGGTGATGAACTCGAGCAACGTGCTGTGCGACCTGTTAAAGACGGTGGTGTGCGCGACTAAAACGGCCGCCCTGAACTACCCGAACACAGCCGCCATCCAGGAGATGGTGGACAGAGTCACCGACCTGTCGCACCACGCTCAGCAGTTTAAAGAACAGTTGCTGCAGATGGCTAATTTGTGATTTTCACCCTCATGGCTCCTGCACATCACTCCGTTTGTACATCTGCCATAAAAATATATATATTTGCAGTATATGTATGTCGCTCTCCATCTTTAAGCCCGTTTAAGATGTTGTAAATAGTCAGTGTTCTGTAAATATTTGCTCTATTTTTATGTACATTGTTCTATATTATGATATGGACACATATATAGATGCAGTACTGGTGCCTCTGTAGGAACATGTGGACATTTTTCATAACATTCCCATTGCATATTATGAAGCACCTTATGAGATGTCCTGTTATTTCATTTATAACTGTAGAGTGTCGTTTCTGTGTCTTCCTGCTGGATGTGACAGTTAAAAGTTCCTTGTAAATCAAGTCAGTGTCCGTGTGTCCGTGTGTGTGTGTGGAGCTTTCCACAAAGTAAAGGACTGTTCTTCACCACAGGGGTTTGTCATCCTTATGTCGTCCAAGAAGTGAAGCAGTCAGAGGGGTTTGGATGATAAATAGTGATATTTTCTTTAAAAAAAATTTTTATGTCAAACATGATATTTTTTGCAAAGATGATAAGATTTATATGTGCGCATAGAAAAAACTTTCAGGTGTTTTCTGTGTCCATGTATTGATCAATAGACACCACTGGCTCCAGTTTTATGCCAAGCTGCTTAAAAATATTACAGTACAATACATCTCATGGTCTCCGTCGGCTGATGGTAATAGATGGTATGCACACATTTAGTTTAAAATTCCTAAGGTCCCGGGAGAGGACACGGCTCCTGCGTCTTTGGGGTTGGCGTGCGGTGTAAAAACCACAGCAAATCAAACATGCGGAGCGACCTGCTGTGGTGACCGCTTGTGAATAAGAAAGCAGCTGAAGGCGGCTTTTTCATTTCAAAGGTCAGAAGTGAAATTTACAACATAAATCCTGTTTGCTGAGCTCCTCTTGGGCTTTCCGCCACATCTCACTGTCTTCCTCAGCTGATTGTTTGATTCAAAGTCTTACAGAGGAATGCCAGATAGTTAAGAAACTATCCAGTCACATTCCCCCGAAGACATTCGTGCATAGACATAATTTTACCTGCTCCATATAAACAGTTTGTGGATCTGTTGAGCCTATCCTTCCTCTCTGTCACATATGCACTGCTACATTTGTGGAAGTTCATATTAAACATGGTCAGAGTTTGCACAATCCCTGTGAGCCAAAAGCTCCGCCTTCCCACTGATCTAAAAATTTTATACTATTGCCTCTATGACATCTGAAAGAGGGGATATCCCAAATATGGCCATATAATGCACACAAGCACCACCCACCTGCTGTTCAGACCTCCTGCCAGTAGAAATCTGGCTTTGAAGGGGGAGGAGCTTAAACAGTGTCTTTCAGTCAGGATTATTTCTAACTGTGAATTATGCAAAGCTACTCTAGTATAGCCCAATACTAGAAAAACAAAACAAACAAACAAAACATCCACATTAACTGTCAACTACAGTGTATGTTGACTTTTTCCAAGGCTTTCGGTTGTGTTTCATGGTCTATACCTGCAGCACTGAAGGTCATGTCCTTGTCTAAAGGTGGCCAAAAGTGCCAAAACAACTGCCGGTGCACCTTGGTGTCATGCACCTCTTGATTTTTGTAAGCCAGCATAGCGGCACTAAGTCAGGCACTAATATCAGTACAAGAGCTCAGACATTCACAGGAGATACGGAGGGAAACTGTGATTTCTTTGCTTCTGGTTTCAACTGGTTTTACTCCTCATTGTCTGAGTGGCGACACATTTCTGCCGTTCTGCAGCAAGCCCAGCTAGTGGTGATGTCATAGGTGGTGTGCAACAACCCTGAAAAAAGGCATTATTGTTGAAACTACTGTTTCAAACTGCCTCTCGTAGTCTTCATCAGACTGATGGGGAGCAAACACTAACAGAAGGATCTTAAGGTGTAGATTAATCATTCCAGGATCTAGACGAAGAGCTTAGATGAAGGGTTGATTCATCCGAAGCGTGACTCAGTGTTTAAGTAATATAAAAATCTCACCTTAGGTTATTGTTCTGGTTGATTTTTTTATCCAATCGCATGCTTGTCTCATCGTTAAGTCATATCTGATCACATTAAACACAGAGCTGAGAGGATTTCATTGAGCGGGACTGGGCAGGTGGAGAAGGAGCCAAACTATTCTTCACTTTGCTTGTAGCACATTAGACGTGACACAAAGAGTAATGAGGGTGAGTAGAGGACAAGACTCTGCTACAGATGTTGTGCAGGCCGTGAGAAACGTCTCTCTGAGCCACCGGCTAATCTGCAGCACATTTCTCTGCTTCAAGGTGCAGTGAATTGATCAGATACACGGCAGAGCTGAAAACAGCCTCTGTTTTCTCCTCATCTCCTCTTCGCTGTGTTTCATTATAGTCTGAGTGACTATAACCGCTCCCTGAGGGGTAGCTGCTCTATAGATAGATGGATAGATGGAACTGCGTAACGGCGAGATGTCCATGAGCACATCGAGACTCCCGCCTCCCCCTTCAGCTTCCAATCTCAGAATCTCATTAAAAAATCCTCGCTGCTCTCACAGACTGGCACTCACAGGCAATCTCCCTGTTTTTATTATTCACTGCATTCCTCTCTGCGCTCTCCAGGGAGAGGAGAATGACTTTTAAAAAGGTTCCCGTTTTGCAGGCAGGGTGCAATGAGTCCACAGCAGAGATGTGCTCTCTGTTAATCTGCCCCACAAAGGCAGAGAAGGAAAAAAAGGGGCTTAAAGTTTTTAGCCTGGCTGGAAAAAGAGAAGCTGTTTTAGTCTGACTATTTGAACTTGAAAAATAAATCCATGCTGAAAAGGTCAAAAACATTTCACCTGAAGCACAGCGGTGGCTGTCCTAGTCAAAAATATATGACTCTGCAAATCTGAATGTTTGATCATAAATAGTGTAGAAAACTTGATTTTCAAGCTCATGTGCACCCCTGAGCTTTATAACATATGACATTACTTGAAAAAAAGGGTACTGCTGTGTTTACACTGTGATGAATCAGTGCAAAAAGAACCAAATGCAAGACAAGCCTTGTAAAATCTAAAAATATCTGACATACTAAGGTTCAAATGCAAAGTAAAACACAAAATTGGGCAATTATAATTCAGGCCTGAATCCACACACTGAGACAAAAGTCTAAAATAGAAACAAAGGGAAAACAGAGACGCTATCAAATCAAAACTGTGAAGAAAACCAAGGAATGGACGGAAGCCTACAGGCAAGAGCAACAAGATTATTTGACTGGAAACAAGGGAAAGCTCAGGAGTAAATATATCCCAAGCGGACGCAGGAGAGCAGAGAGGGAACAGGTGTGGAAGAAGGCACAGGTGGGACAGATGATTACCAAAGAGGAGAACCAACAAAGCGAGGAAGTAAAACTCACAGGAACGCACAAAGACCACAATCTAACCTAAGTATTTATACTTGTTGCCTTTACTACTTTAGCAATACCACAAAAGTTTTAAAACTATTGTTTACCTGCATAAGAAAAGATAAAGGTAAGGTAAAGTGAAATCAGCAACTTTTTAACAGACTTTTTTTGAAATTTGGTGATTTTATAGGTGTTGTCTTTATGTCCTGGTCACCATTGAAATTCAAGTTAATTTAGGAAAATGCTTGAAAATAAAACTGCCAAAATAAGTGCCCAGAGGTGCTTCAAAGACAGCTGGCAAGTGTTAAGTTTAACATTAACATCCACCCGATTTTCCCGGCATACTATGGAAGAGGATTAGGGCCACTGGGGAAAAAAAAGTGGGCACGTCTTTTTTTTTTCTTCTTTTCCTGAATTCTGTGAAAAAAGTCAGAATTCTGACTTTAATCTCAGAATTCTGAGAAAAAAGTCAGAATTCTGACTTTTTCATCAAAATTATTTTTTTTCAGAATTCTGACTTTTTCATCAAAATTATTTTTTTTCAGAATTCTGACTTTTTCATCAAAATTATTTTTTTTTTCAGAATTCTGACTTTTTTCTCAGAATTCTGAGATTAAAGTCAGAATTCTGAAAAAAAATAATTTTGATGAAAAAGTCAGAATTCTGACTTTTTTCTCAGATTTTTTTTCCAGTGGCCCTAATCCTCTTCCGTAGCATACCTTTGAATTGTAACACAAGATGAATTATTCACTTCACCTGTGCTTTTAATCTCTTGGCAGATTGGTGTTTTTTATATTTAAAAAAAAGTAATTACATTTTCATATATTTTTTTAAAAAGTCTATCATGTGAAATTAAAAAATGTAAGAACTCTTTTAGCTTCCACAGCTTTCTTTGTTTAGTCGTTTTGCCGGGCTTGGATAATGGTACCTCTGGACGACTTGCGGCTCCAAACAAGTGAGAGAAATAGCTTCTGGGTGATGTTAATGCTTCAGACCCAGGGAGAGCTCAGTGAATCAATGAGTTATTTTGGTCTTGGCAGCTCTAATTCATCCACTCAGGCCAGAACACACAGTCCTGGACGCAGCAGCAGCAGCGGCGGCTTCTGTGACCGGAGGCAGCGAGCCAGACATCTTATAAATGACTGTCTCTGGTTCACTGCAGTTGCACAACAATGTAAGGTGCTGCAGAGACGAGCGAGCTGAAGCTGCACTTCCATCAGCTCCCCGGGGCAGACGTCTCCACGATCCCGAATGAGATATCGTCTGGGCGAGCTGAGAAACAGCAAACAGGTGTTTGGGCCGCCGAGATGGAAATGTGCAGGAGAAGAGCGATCAAACCGTCAGCCGTTCGCCTGCGTGGTGGGCGAGCAAACGGGGTGAAAGGTCATCAAAGAGGGGGCGTGCAGTACCTGCAGCCAACGACAGGAGCAGAGAGCAAAGCCCGGCTCTCGCGTTATAAGTTAGAGAGGAGAGCTGCAGAGTTGGTGTCATTTCCTTGGCTTACCACAATCATTTCCTGTGAAGTATTTGGAGGCTCTGAAATTACAGCTTCTTCGCTCAGCAGGGCCCCTTTGTGCCCCAGCTGCAGGCAGAGACGTCGTCAGCCAGATCTGAGGTAGATGTGGCATCAGCGTTACCAACACAGCTAAGGGCGAAGGTTTTCCTCAAAGTCGGTTTAGTGTGAGAGCAGTTTCTTAACTTTACCTGCATCCAGCGCAGATTCTCAGCATGTGACTCATGCATAACCCAGTGTGTCATTCAGCTACTTTACTCTAAATAATCCAGATTATTTCCTCTTTATTAGGCTTATCATGATCTTTGCGGCAGTGGATGAAGCATTCTAAAGTTTCCTACAGTATTAACAGGTAGAAAAAATATTCAGTCTTTAGCCACACTGACCTCAGCGCTGTATTTCTGGAGTGCATCTCAGCTGCAGCTGTGTCGGCTTCTTGGAACCAGAAGTGACCATATTTGGGTGGAAAGCTGAAGCTGTTTCATTAGCAACTGAAGATGTAAACAGTTTCCTGGCCACCAGTGACCAGCAGG